AGAGGGAGGCGCCTCACCGCCCTCCAGCGTGGCCACCACACGTGAGTCAGGCAGCATGCGGTGCTTCTCGCCGAGGTAGTCGATAGCCTCGCCCTCCATCACAATCTCCTCGCACAGCACGTGGTCACCCGCCCCCACCCCCGTCGGCAGCAACTGCCCCGACTCTGGGTGCGTCAGCCCTGGGCCTGCAGCCGCCACCTCGCCGTCGCGGATCTTGCGCTGCGAGGCGGCGAGCACGAGCCCGCGCGAGGTTTCGCCCTCCTCGCTCTTGCGCAGCTTCACCAGTACCATGTTGTTGCGCGGCGTCAGCGGCGCCGGCAGCAGGTAGTTGTTCAGCCGATAGGTAGTGGCTGCCGCCTCCATCAACGCGGGCGCGGGCGTGGCGCCACGGGCATGCCGGGCGGTATCCAACGGCAGCGGCAGCACGAAGGAAAGGCACAGCGCGGCGATGACGGGAGCCATAGGAATAGTGCGGCAGGTGGAGGAGAGGAGAGCGAGCCACGACACGAGCGGCGAGCCAGCAGTCGTGGAGCTCACGAGGTCAAAAGAATTTTACCAGCGCGGCCAGGCCGTGTTTGCTGTTTGAAACGCCTGTTGCGCTGCGCGCGCGCTGCCGGGGCTCTGTCTCACTCACGTGCCGCAATATGTGTCACACACGGCGGCTTCTGCCACCTCTCGATTGGTTCCACTCACCGGGGAAGGGGCGCGTGGGAGCGGGGCCGGGGGCGGGCCGGGGGCGGGGGTGGGGGCGGGGGCGCGCAGCGCGGGGCGCGCGCGCGCAACAGAGGGTAGGGTGGGGAAGACGGCGAGGAGGGGGCGGCGGCGGCGGCGTCGGCGGCGGCGCGCGCGCGGCGCGCGCGACGGGGGGGCGGAGCAGCGACCGCTGGCGCGGTCGCTGCTCCGTCTGTGACAGACGCGCGCTCTGCGCCGCTGCAGAGCGCGCGCGTCAGGGCAAGGGGCATGCGTGGCGGCGCGGGACGCGCGGCGGCGGCGGCGAGCACGCTCCGTGAGCGGTGAGGCGGCCGGGCGAGGGCGCGGCGGGTGACGGGTCAAGGGAGCAGCCCACACCCGGCGTCGCTTTTTGAGCGACGCCTGTGGTACGCCTGCGCAGGGGCCGCAGGGCGGTCAGTTGTGGGGCGAGGCGGTGCCGGCCGCGGGCCGGGTGCAAGGCGCCGGCCTCGGCGCCGCCTCGGCGCGCCGCACGGGCGCGGCGAGCCTCTGAGCGGGAGCCGAAGGTTTGCCTGTGGGAGGGACGGTGGGGTGGTTTGACTTTGCCGCAGAGGCCGTCCCTAGCTGTGAACAGCAAAACGGGACAGTATCTCTCTCTCAACATGCACATGCACATGCACATGTTCATTTCATGTTCATGTCATGTCATGTTCATGTGCATGTCGAGGGGCCTACAAAACAAAAACAAACCTGTCTAGGAGTCCCGAGATTCCGGAAACCAAA